GCTCAAGAGTCTCAAAAGGCCATGTGCTCTGTGACACCGATCATCTCAAGCTCTTTCTCAGTGCTCTTGACTCGAAGTTGCTGGTAGCCCTTAGCCTATGGCACTGTCTATTTGCGGAAGTCGTCGACTATCAAGCAGGAGAAAATACGCACAGACTGGGAGGTGGGTACTAATCTTATTATCAGGAGGCCGCACCTTGCTTCAAGCCAACCAGCAGCTCAAACCACCATGACTATCTCGACCCACAGCGAATTGCTGTAAGGCCAAAAGAAGCTGTTTCGAACTCGACCCTGCCAGTGCCCAATTGAAATGTATTCGTGTAGCTTACTAGGCGACCACCGTCCTGGTATACGCGTCCCCTGTCGCATCCTTTCCCATTTCTAGATTTCATGATATTTAATATTCATACTTTCCCAAGTTCGAGGTGAGATATGACACGTTTCTCTACCCACCCTCTCCTCGCGCTCAACTCGTGCTGGGCCATCGAAAGAATCGAAGGTCAGCTCACGTATCAGGACACACCACTCATCTACACGCTTGGACTCGCACCCTTGCTCGGAGGTTGTACTTCAGCCTCGAAGTTGTAGCACTCTCAAGTCAACAACTCGTTACCTCAGGCCTCTTGTCCCCATATCAATTTGAAGCAAGTCAAAGGGCCTTCCTTCAGACTTAACTCTCGGAATCGGATACGATGCTGTCGACGACGGCTACTCTATCCAAAAAAACTGCTACATCGACCATTCACCCGATCTCATCCCAGACGCTTTGTACGACTACCATCCTCAAGAAAGAGCCCCATCTCTCGTGGCATCACTCGTATGTACAGATGAGCTCTGGTGCTTCGTCGCAGGTTATGTGGATGGATACGTCCCAGTGCCATGGCATGGACAGGGAATGAATGGATTCCTTGACAGCTTGTCCCATGATAAGAAAGCTGGCCCCAAGTCGTCGACTCTCGGCCCGACACTGACCACAACCCGCGCCTACCAATCATCAGGAAGCAGGTCGCGTAGGGCTCAGATGCTTAGCAGATATTTTTGCGAGTCCGGTGGCGTATGACCCGAGTCTTTCACAAATGGGCCACTCGACTCAATTTCGCATGGTTACTAATGATTTTATCGACAGACCATCCAAGCAGAGGTCGATAATACCAACAAGCGTATTAACCTGACTTAGTACAATCCTCGTCTAGGAGGTCTCCTGGGATTTCAGATTCAGTTGATCCAAAGGGGAACCTGAAAATCGACGGGAGATACAGATTCGATAACAATAGATATGCATCACATTCCTCGTTTTTCTCACTGATAATCACAGGCAAATCATAGGCCAATCATCTAAATCTTCCTTCTGCTGTTCTGAACTTTCGGCATGCTTCCCGGGACTAGGTGAATCATCTGGCGGGAGGACATATCAGACTCGAATAGCACAATTAAGTGTTTTACAGATGTACGTACAGTACTTCTTGAAAAATCCTCTCATCAAGCTGGTCCAGCCGCCTTCTTCAAGTGCCTCTGTTAACGTTCCTCCAGATTCATTTTCGAATCTTGGAGTGGGCGTCTCGGCGAGCAACAAAGTCGGGGGAAACGCGGGTCGTGAATCTGAATGACTGGGAGTATCGACGTCTTCCGCGACTTCGAACAGAGGCTCCTTCAGTCTCATGTCAAATGGGGAACCTAAGAATTGAGTAGTGATGTTAGAAGGCGAGGTTGAGCTGAACAGCACTACAAACCTAGTATTAAGTCTGGATAACCCCGATCTCGGGCATATCGCTTCCAATACAAGTCGTAGCCCTTCATGCGCATATGGCGCTTGATAGTTTTGTACGCCCAAGGTTCCCACCGGGAACCTTGCGGTAGTGAGACTTGGAGTTCGGGAATGTTATGTTTCTTCCAATCCCGCTCCTGAATGACATGCTGTCCTTCTGGGTCGGAGGTCCAGTAGAAAATGGGAGAGGGAAAGGGGCGGCGTATGCAGCACGTGTTATCAATCCACTCGATGGGAAGAGGTGGGACGAAGAGATATGCCGAAAGACAACGTAGATTCGCGAGGGGAATAGGTGTTTGGTTATACAGGAAGAAACCAATGGCATCAAGATAGGCTATCGGTGAGTGAAGCCAAATGTCAAACATGATGGGTGTCAAATAACACGGAGCACTCACCACAGTCACCGGGATCATTGAACATGTAGGGGAATTGGGTGAGGTAGCCAGCACGAAATCGATTTCGCTCATTGAATGGAAGGCACCACGTGAACAGAACGCGCAGCACGACCCCTCTAGGATCACAGTACGTTGAGTGTGAAGAAGTGTCGGGATAAGAAATATCGACACGCGAAGGTGCTAGCAACTATTAGTGCGGGAAAATAGAATGGGTAATGCTATCATACCGGAGTCGGAATATCTCACGTTGACTCCGGACGTGATGCTGGTGCAGCGCCATTCCGGCAATGATTCAGAACGGTGATGGGCGACAACTTCTTCCTTGTGGGTGTACAAATTGCGCACAACGGTCCCCAGCCCCCAAAAGCCAGGCCGTCCATCGTAGGATGATAGATCCTTCTCCTCTATCCGTATATTCAATGACCTTGACACCAGCAGATACGAGACATTGCCGAAGTTCTGTTCGACGAAGGCAACTATCTTTCCCACGTCTAGGTGCGGACCTGTTACCGGCTGTTGATGTGCGATCGGTGGTGATAGCTGAAGGGAGTCAAGGAATTGGGTCGTGTAACCGCATGAGAACTTGCTTCGGCCTCCAGAGGCGACAGAGAGGACGTTGTATTGCCAGGCTGAAGTTGTGAGGCTGAACATCCAGTTTTTTGGATCACTTGTCACCTATTGGGATACAGAGATACAAAGATCATTGGTCAGTCACTGGCGACTTGCAATAGTCAACGCACCGGAACGGCCAGCAACCGATCGGCACGCAGCTTTTCAACCGCAGCATCCTAAAGCTATAATTTTAGTAGCCGGAACTGTATCGAAAAACAATCCCGATCGTAATCACCAATGTGTGCTGAAGGTATAGTGGTATAATCTTGATACTGCCATCCTGACACTCGGTATCTGAAAAATATTGATCCATCAGGTTGTCTCCATTGAGAAGTTCTGTAACGAGGATTGAGTTGAGCAATTACGCCATAAATAGACCATGTCACCATCATGCATGATGAAACCCAACGCGTTCTCGGACTTGACGACCCCAAAAAGTTGTGTCAAGCCCGGTGATCCGAGTCCACTTAGTCGTGAATGTGAGCAAATATTCACAGTAACTCGATATCTTGGCCTACGTGTCTAGAGACGACAACATCTCGTGAATCTCCTCCCAAATCTACCAACCTAATCAACGTCATGCGCAGTCATAAAGCTCCAATTGAACTCACCAGCCATGCAGCCTCCTTGTCCCTCTTGTCTGTTGCCTCCAAGCTAACCACAGTGAATACACGTTCTTGAAACTGCACAACTTCGGCAGTGTAGACGGTGCTTATAATGTCGATCTCCCCTTTCCGAAATGGATTGTTATCTCGGAAGAGAGTCATACTATCCTCTGAGCGAAAGGGTCCCTTGCGTAGTATCACGTCGCCTCGAGGGATTTCCCTACACTGGCGTCGAATTGGTTGGACGAGTATACAACATCAATTCAAGATCAGCTCAGTAGTGAATCGATTTGACGTACAGCTCACCGCGATAACCGTCCCGTGCTCCCTGAAGTCCCCGACGTATCTACCGTCGCTGTAGTTGTGAACATGTGTCGTGACGTTTCCAGCGACATGCTGAAAGTGAGTGTCGCCGTAAAAGTTGGTATGTCGGGCTCGATTGAAGAAACGGGACATCTCCGAGTCGCACAGCTTCGCCACTAGAGGTGGGGGGGAAAGGGAGGTAGGAGTAGTGGTCAACGTTGAGCGACGGACATCACTCATAGATGCTTAGATACACGACCGTAATCTTTCGTGTTTCAACACAAGTGGGGGATAGATACAGAGAGTTTACGCACAAACCATCAGAACTATCGAAGTTTGACGGTAACTTTTTACACAGCCATCAGCCCCGGGCCACACTGACCCAGGTTGTTTACTGGTTTGTCCGACTTCTCCCTCTCTTTCGTCGCCCGTACGCCTCCATCTCAAGTGCATTCAGAGTGCACAAACGAGATTTCGATTAATCGGTGAGTCTACGAACCATCTTCGATATAAAAGCACATTGGGCCTCGGTATGTAGTATGTAGAATGGGGCAGCCAATTTGAGCAACTGACCCTGATTGCTCGGTATGTATTTTATCATTGATGGCTCTCAATCAAGGGTCCAAAGAGGTGTCCCTGACCCAGGGCTGGGGGCACCCAGCTTCGGGAGGTGATTCAAGGTGATTCACCCGCCCTCACCACCACCAAAAAGGGTTTTCGGATATGAAGCGTCTGTTTATAAGAGACTACGTCGATGGCCATCCGTGATACGGCCAAGGCCGACTATGGTTGTTAACAATGAACCAGAATGAGCAAACAGAGTGTCCACATTGATCCTGATTGCAAAAAGAGTTTACCAAATTTAATGACTTCCCTATCTCCAACCTTCTCCAACCCGTCTCTCGCGAGACGCATCATATTGATTCGAACAGTCGGAGCCAATGGTAAAGAATGAACTTGGTCAGTGGCACGAATGATCAACGCGCTGAGTGTCCGGGACCTACAGTTTTGGATGTCAACGTCATCTTGATATCTCCTGCAAGGCGATGGGAATACAAACGGAATGGCGAAACTCTTCACACTCCACTTTGGACAACGCCAGGACCATGATTCGGAGGACTCCATTTCAAATTTGAACCATTCCTTCCATCATCACTATACAGATTTCTACTTCAACCGCCAGCACGATCGTTGACAAGCTCCGAGTTCCACAATACGACCCGTTAAACAGAAGCGCTGGTCTTGAGATACAAAACATATGCGAGTATTTACAGATGGGAGAAATTTCCCCCAAAAAACTGTTCGCAGGACAACGAAGTATTGGGGGTACCGCGGATCGAACGCGGGACCTTCAGAATTCGTGAAAATATGCGCCATACGCACTTCAGTCTGCTGCTCTCCCAGCTGAGCTATACCCCCGTTCCTTTACATGAGAAACACACGCTAGATATCGGCACTCATCATTCGGAACCTGTGACCTTGAACTCGATGGCTTTTTTGTTCTAGTTCAAATTTGGCAATACGACGTAGTATTTATGACTCTGAGCACGCTCATGAGGTCAGTCAATAGAAAAAGGGTATGTAAAATCTGTAGTACGAAATAGGATTTGAACGAGTGTGTGTGTGTGTGTGTGATGTGCAGTATGCGGCATGCGGTATGTAGGGAATCCAGGTTATAAAGTGCGTATTCCATGAGGTATGTGTATATAAGCGAGCGAGTGTAATGTAACGTATCAAGCAGCCAGAGAGAAGACGGAAAAAGACGAAAACAAAAGAACAAAAAACAAAACGCAGATTCGAATAACTCAAGAAAAACGAAAGCGAATAAAGATATATAACCATACCTCCCCCCCCCCTCTCCCTCTTTTAATCCCTCGTCCCCGAACTAAAACTAAACCTCCCACTCCCACTCCCCTGACCCGCATTCGCTCTCAAACTAGCAGCCAACTCCGACTTGCGTCTCTGGTTCATAATCATCGATTTCCATTTCTGAATCCCCGAATTCAACAACCCCCCACCCCCACCACCACCAGCACCACCGGGGGGAGGCGAATCAGACATATGCATCAACCCACCCGAACTCGTCGTATTGAACCGTACGCTTTTGTTTCTCGACCCTCCCAACACCGATCCCAACCCGCCACCACCACCCGCGGAAGAAGACCCGGCAGCGGCTTCGTCTGCACCCAACCACATCGAAGGGATACTCCTCCCCACAGGTTTCTTCATCGGCGTAGCACCCGACCCCGACCCCGACCCTTGAGGAAAAGAATAATACGTAACCGACCCCGTAGGTAACGGAGGCACCTCATCCTCCTCCCCAAACTCCGTCTTCCTCCTCGTATTAGCCACAAGCGACTCTTCATCCATCGACCCCCTCCTCGCCAATCTCTCCCGCTTCTCCCTCTCCCTCCTCTCTTGCGGTGTCTCGTGCTCGTGACCATGCGACGAAGCAGCGCTCGGGTTCATATGACTCAGATCATCCCCGTGGCCATGGCCATGTGAAGACGTAGCGGTAGGCGTCACAACCAAATCGTCCACAGCCAAAAGAGGCCGACTCCTCGGTGGGAGCTGAGAAAGTCTCCTCACCGGTGCAGGTGTAGGTTTGGGCGGTACAGGTGGTGGACCCATCAACCCCTCTCCCGAGTCCCTCTCCCTCCCCAACACACCCGACCCAGCAGAAGACGTGGTAGTCGTAGAAGGCACCCTCTCCCGCGTAGCACTCGTAGGCGTCAACCCACTCGTCTGGTGTGGATGTTCCTGGCTCGGTGAGTACGGGAACGGTTGGGGAAGGGGTAACGATACACCCGATGACGACGTTGACGATACGTTCAGATTCACGTTGAGATTCGTGTGCAGGTACAACTTGGCTCCAGGACCCGTCACCGTCGCGTGCGTGGTCGGAGAAGGTGTAGGCGGAACCGGCGGCGGGGGCGGAGAAGACGCAGAAGCAGCATACGGCAACCTCAACGCCCCCTGCGAAGCCCTAATACTCCTCTTCCTAGCCGCAGTCACTCCCTCCAGATACGTCCGTTTCGACGGCGAAACAGGCGGTACCGGAAGTGCCGTCCTCGTCGTCCCCGTGGGTTGAGAAGCAGTCCTCGACCTCGGAAACGCCAACGTAGGTGACCGTTTCGTAGGTGTCGTCTGCGTAGGCGTAGTCCGCTCCTCCCCATCCTCTTCCTCTTCCTCCTCCCTCGTAACAGAAGCGGCCTCAGCAAACGTCGCAACCAACGGCGACGGTGTACGCGCTCCAGTAGTCCCCGAATACCGTTTAGACCTCCTCGGAAAACTCGCACTCATCGGGCTCCCAGGAACCGTCAACGTCAACTGCTGAGGCGACGGACTCGACGGTGGAACCGGGAAATCCAAACGTGGAGGATCAGGTGGTGGATGCGTCGGTGGTGGGTGAGGTGGTGGATTGCTCGTGGGGCTCACGGTCGAGATTCTCTGGTTTGCGGATGGTAAGCTGAGTCTGAAGGGACCCATTTTTTCCACTCTGGCTTTTTCGACTTTGGCCACCTCGGCCTCAACCCCGTCAGAGTGGGGGACGTCCATGTTGAGGAGGGCTTGGTACTCTGCTTCCTCCGCTTCTGTGTCCGAGTCGACGGCTGGTTCGTCTCCGTCGTCGTATTCGTGTCCGTGTACGCTCTCCGGGGTAGGTGCTTGAGGTGGAGGTTTTATCTTGTCAGGTGTCGATACTAGACGAGAAGAAAAGTGTGATCAGTATCCAAACGAGTAGAGGAGGAGGGGGGGGAAAGTAAGACAAACGAACGGAGAAACAAAGGAAGAACAAAAACCGAACGAACAGAACCAAAAAAGAGATGGTCACATAGCAGTACCCCTTAAATGCGTCGAAACGAACTGTAGATCAACGAAAGAGTATACCCAAGGACCGAATGGATAGAGATGTGAACGAGGGGACGAGAGAGATGGAAACGCCACATAAACGAACGAAAGGGATTCGTAGGAGCGAGCAGGACGCAAAACGAGCCCGTCAAAAGCTGGAACACCCCCTCATGACCTTGGAATCGAAACAAGAGACTTGGAGGCATCACAAAGAAAAACGAGGAGCCCAAGTGCGAAAAAAAGGCACCAGATTGGGTCGAACAGCAAGAACGCCTGATATCAAAACTCTCGTCGACCAAAAGCTGACGCGTTGCATGCTCCCCCCATGGGGAAGAAGAAAAAACACGAGTGACGTGAAGTAGGTGGCAAATCATGCACCGTTTCAAGTCACGAAAGGGAGAGATAGAAAGAACCAAGTATAGCAAACACAAGCGAAAACAACTCAAAAGGCGCATATACGCTGAATGGGAAAGAAGCCTCCAAATGTACACACACACAGAAAGAAAGAGAAAGAAAAAAAAAACACACTCACACGCACTAAAACTCCCCATCCCAGGCGTCCCAACCGGCGTCCCCGTCTGTTTGCCAGGTAAAACCGTCGAATTCGAACCTATACCCACAACGCATCAGCACCCCTTCTCAAACAAACAAACAAACAAATCAATTAACTAGCCAACTCACTCAACATAGGCACGCTAACCCCCCTCCTCAATGTCAACCCCATCCCCTGGGTCTGGAGTATGGGACTACTAGGCAACGTCACAAGCTTTGGCTTTTCCACTCCGACCGTCGGTGACATCGGTCTTCCGTCCTTGGTGGTCTGGGTGGTGGAAGAAAACTGAGATAAAGCATGGAAGGACGAGAAGGACGCCCGGGGACTTATAGGCGAATGAACCGAGACGACTTCAGCTGTTTGAATGAGGATTTCTTCGCCTGACCCGAGAATCGAGTCAGAGTCGCTATCAGAGTCAGAGTCCGTATCAGAGTTGGCGTCGTGGGCAGGAGGGGGAGGTTCGATAGATTCCGGTTCTTCGACGATTTCTCCGCCTGATAGCCGATTCCCGGAAGACGTTGCTCGTTGACCAAAGGTACCCACGCTCGCTCGTTGTTGTGGTAGCGGTGCTGGTACTGGTGGTTGAGAGCCAAACGTCGATGAACGCGTTAGCGACCCTGGACCCACAGGTGAGATGGGCGAAATCGTCGACACGGGTGACAGGGGTGGAATCGAAACGGATGAAGGGATGGGTACGGGGACGAGTGTCGCTGTGGCGAGGGTTCGATGTTTAGTTGCTTGCGCTTCCTGTTTTGCTCTAGCCTCGACGGCGGCTTCCCATTCGCGCTTTTCTTGTTCGAGATCCTCTTCTTTGTTTCGGTTTCGGTTTCGAGAACGGCTGATTGACCGAGACCGTAGCTTGACTCGGCTGACGCGTTCTTTGGCTTCTTTGAGTTCGTTCTCGACTCGTTCCAACTCCTTCTTGACCCTCTCTAATTCCTCTTCGACGCCTTTCAACCTCTCCACTTCGTCCTCAGCCCACTTGCGTCTCTCAACCTCCTTGATCGAGTTGGTGGAGACGCGTCGTTCCCTGGCCAGTTCCCCAACGACACCTTTGAATTCGACGTCCTTGAAAGCGAGGTTGGACCGAATCTTTTTGTTCTCCTCGTGTGAGGCTTCGAGTTCCGAAACGACTTTTTTGTATTCTTGTTCGGTGTGGTCGAGTTGTTTGGCGACTTTTTCAGCTTCTTTCCATGCGTCGTCTCGTTCGGCTTCGAGTTGGGTGATGCGGTCGCGGGTGGAGAGGAGTTCCGAGGTTCGTTTGGCGTAGGATGTGTTGAGCTGCTCCCCCACGAAACCATAAGGAAAGAAAGAGGAAAAGAAAGATGGAGATGAGAACGCACCTTCCTCAGGGCAACAGCCAAAGCACTAGCCCAATGATTATCCACCAACCCACCAATCTCTCTAACCTGATCACCCACCCCAACCAACTCTTCCACCATCCGATCGCAGTCTGCGACGACATCCGAGAGTTGAGTCAACAACGACGTCGCTGCAGGTCCCATGTCCACCGAAGAACTCCCAGCACCGGTCCCGGTGTTGAGAACGACGACGGCCCATAACCCTTGCATGAGCATGCTCCGTCTTTGAACGGTCCATCGGTATTTGCCTGTGGTGCTCAGTCTTTGGTCTGATAATCTTGAAAGCTCGTCTGGGAGGATGGTATCGAGGAGTTTGAGACTTAACAACCGGACGAAGGATTCTCGTGCGCTGCATCGGATAGCTCGGGAGACGATGTCCTGTAATTCGTTTGATGTGAATGTCCATTGGGCGGCTTCGTAAGGTAAAGCTTTGTATGACGGAGACGTGGGTGTAGGTGCGAATGTCGGGAGAGGCGGGACGGTTAGAGTCGGTGCTAATGGTGGAGGGTCTACCATTGGAGGCGGAGGGGGCGGTGGTGGTGGTGGGGAAGGGGAAGGGGAAGAAGATGGAGGAGAATGATTTTCATCAACGTTGTTAATATTAGGGGCGGTCGTGATCGGATTCGTGGGTTCTTCCTTTTCCTCCTCCTCCTCCTCTCTGTTGCCGTCACCGTCTTCTCCTCGTCGTTGTTCCTCCTCCTCCTCCTCTTCCGGTGCATCCCCAACCACACCAACGCCCACACTAACACCGTCAACACTGGACACACTCTTCATACTTCCAGGCCTCGAATGTTTTCCCGCACTTGTCGTCGAATGCCGTTTGAGAGGTAACGTCCTCGGTCCAAGCGGCGCTCTTCGGCTCGTCAGAGCACCGCTACTGCTCGTTGGTCGTTCCATACGTAGGTCGGAAAGAGGTTGGAAGAGAAGACGAGGGACGAGAGCGCCGTTACTCTGGTCCCTTCTTGTGCTCCCGCGTCCCGGTCCCCAGGGTCAGCCTCAAGCGCGCTTCAAGTTTGTGGAGCCAACTGCCATCCGATTATGCGAAAAACGCTGTATGTAGTCCGTAATGCGCGGCGGTGATTCTAGACTACCGACTTCAGACCATCTGCATCAGCACGGGTTCAAACTTCGAAGATTTACAGTAAGATAGTGGCTTTGACTGATGACGATGCCGATGGAGGTAGCGGCGATAATCATTTATAGATGTATGTACAGCACTATTTCGAGGGGGGGAAAAAGCCTATTCAAAGTTCGCAGCATTCCTGTAGACCGACAAGACAGGCTGTGTACTCGGCTCCCGAACTTCACCAATATCACTGTCAAGGTATTTGATGTTTCCAACGGGGGTATAGCTCAGCTGGGAGAGCAGCAGACTGAAGTCCATTTTTAGCTCCATGTAGTACTCCTTCTGAACGTCCCGCGTTCGATCCGCGGTACCCCCAATATGTTAGAACGTCGTCAAAATTTTCTTTCTTTCTATCTCTTTTTTCCTTCCTTTTTTCCTCTGTCTCATTTTCAACGTACACATCTCACCTTATTCACTTTCGACGCAGAGTAAGTGTTCAAACACTTTCCCCCCCCTACAATAATGTAGACTCCAAGACTCGGAGCATGGCGGATAACAAAGGCTGATACGAGTTCCGGCCCTCTCCAAATTTAAGTAACATCCTCAAAATCTGGACGGGGGTATAAGCAGACTGAAGTCCAACGTTAGTTCCATATGGCATAACTACTCCGTCTGAAGGTCCCGTGTTCGATCCGCGGTACCCTCATCGTGAACGATGGAGTGCACTCAGTTTCTCTCTCTCTCTCTCTCTCTCTCTCTCTTTCCCAATAGATGCAGACCTGTCACCGGTCCGTACACCGCCAATCTGGCTGGATGTCAGTATGATTGTGGGCACGAACATAAAGGCAATCCTTTGAGGCGCCGTCGGCGTGAGATGATAACAACGTCAAATCCACATTCCGGACCGGCCATCTGTCCGTCATACTCCGAACTCGCGATGTCCTTTTGACATTCCTTTCCATGTCGCTGTGATGTACCTTCATGCCCTCTCCTCAACATTCCTTGCACCCAAACGGGCTGCGGGGTTTGAATAATCAAATTCAACGACATAAGAACAACAGGTCTACGTGTCGTGCCAACTGTGCTTTTTTCGTTCCCCCTCATCTTCGCGTTCTCAACTTGTTCTAGTAAATTCACCATATTATTGCTTCCGTGACACACATTGACTTCACCCTTCTACTACTAGTTTGCCGCGAGGGTATTGTCGAAGATAGGTGGTGATGGGATACGTTCTGTGCAGTCATTGAACGTTTGAGGGGTCACTTGCCTCAGGTTTGGATTTCCGGTGAGTTCAACTTATTACTCTCCTCATCGCTTTGAATTAATGGCGGCTGTTGGTCTCAAGACTCAGATCACCATTTTACACATTGTCGAGTGAATCTGGTTCGCTCGATACGTCCAATATGCCGCAAAATTTGATACGCGTTCACTGGATCCCGCCTCTCCATCTGGGTGATGGGGTGCGAAACCATCGAACCGACATCAACTATTGGATACGGTTATGTTGACCGGGTGATGTCCCTGGGATGTTCCGACTGAAATGGCAGTGTATATGACGAGGCAAGCTGGGTGTATACGACTCAGGTTGCTCGTTCCGTGAGGAGCCGCATGACAGGCCTACGATAGATGACAGATGTATTTCAGACTCAGAACCAGACTCCGACACGACTGTGCTCCACTCCCTTATTTTTTTTGCCGGTCACTTTTTTCAAGTAGAACAATGACCCATGGTTGACTCGGAAGGTACGGGCTCAATGTGGAAGGTACATCCTCCACTTTGTACTAATGATTGATTTCATCGGTCTCGCAGAACGAATGACAAGTTCTTTGTGCGCTTGGCTCTCTACTTTCACGGACAACACTGTCATAACCCACCGGAGGTATATCTCAGCTGGGAGAGCAACAGACTCAGGAAGCAAATTCTCCATAATATCCCTTCCAGGTACACGGGAAGAACTCAAAAACCAGCCCTAGACAGATTTGAACGCCACTCAACCCGATCTATATCAACCCTACACAAATCTCGATCCTTATAATCAGCACCGTTTTGATGGTCCATACCTCTCTTATCATCAAGACTCAGACACTCGAGATTCAGAATTCCCTGTTCTTGGCTTTGTTTATGTCGAGGGACCCGCTCATAGCGATCAACTCGGAGCTCGAATTTTCGGTACCCCCATCGTGAACGATGGAGTGTACTCAGTTTTTTTTTTCCCTCTCCGTTTCCCAAGATAGATTTCAGACTCCGACGCGACCACGCTCCATTCCCTTATTTTTCCAGTCGGTTATTTCAAGTACAACAACGACCCACGGTTGTCTCGGAAGGTATGGGCTCGATGTGGAAGGCAAGCCCCACACTTTCTAATAATTGATTTCATCGGTCTCACAAAACGAATGACAAGTTCTTTGTGCACTTGGCTCTCTACTTTCACATAACACCGTCATAACCCACCGGGGGTATATCTCAGCTGGGAGAGTAGGTCTGATTAAATTCTCAATAATATCACTGTCTCGTGTCCGACCCGCAGTACCCCCAATTTTCGTGCTCTTTTTCCCTCCGGCGTTGACTCTCGACTCTTGACTCTTCAGACGCAGAAACTTTTTTTCGTCTTCACCTATTTCAATGTAGCTCGGAAGATTCGAGCTCCCATCCTCCTTATACAAGACCCACGGGACAGTACCAATCACAAGCTACTACTTAGAAGCGGTCTGGATTCTCGAGGTAGAGGGCAGGAAAATGTGCGTTTGATTGGTTTATCTCATTATCGGGATTCGTTACTGGTCTGACTCGAGACTTTTTTTTTTGCCATCTCAAGAATCGAAATTCAACGCTGTCTTTCATTCCATCAACTCAGACCGTGCCATATCCTCATCTCTTTGTGGAACAGCTACTTAATCGTGGTAGCACTGGGCGTACCAGATATGCATTCATGAGTACGAGGCGCTCTCTCTCTCTACTTCTCTCGGTGGCAAGTTGTTTTCGTTACTATCACACTGATAGCGCACCGAACAAGTTGGAGCCCATCGATAAGAAAGTATTCTTTTTTTTTTCGGTTCAAAGGTCACAGGCGCGTTCCAAAAGTTTGAATAGTTTCCCCCGGTTGATATGATTATCCAGATTTTGGACGTATCCGAGCTTGTTGGAGTCTTTTAGCTTTGCACACCGACATATTCCAACACCGATAGACGTAGGCTTTTGGACTTCGGTTCGGTACGGTTGGATAACACGGGCTTAGAGTGCAATATCTCCAGCCAGGCTCGACATTCGACCTTTTTGATGCTGCATTCTACCATATCCTTGTTGGCTTGCCTGCACCTGGGACTCATACACATACATCATTCGCCGCGAACTGGAGCTCAGAACCGCCGAATCCTGGAGGAGAAATCTTCGTCCTGGTAATCAAGGTTCAGATATTCACATTCAATATTCGGAATCCGACGTTGACAGTTTTGTTTACAATGCGCGACTTGGCACTCGTACTCAAAGTCCAACTCGTTAGGTTCTGACTTTTATCCGAGCTTTCACTCTGGGATCATTGTGTACCCATCAAAAGCCCTCTTCCGCATTCAATACTCTGCTTTTTCTTCTCGCTCGTCCCGCGCCATCTCCTACGACTGGAATAATGGCCTGGATGTGGGCCGAAAGCTTTGATTTACTCCGAGTCCATAATTTCAAACTAGCACGTAGGCTGAATGATGTTCAACCTTACTGTTCCTGACGCTACCACCCCTTTCAAATCTTCAACTCGAATGAATTGCCAAGCATGTGCATACCACACTCGATTCTTGCTTGCGAAATCATCTCTCCCTCCGGCCCCTCGTCATTCTTCTGACACGTGCACGTATCGCAGTGCCATGGTCCCGCTCAAACGGAGCCATTGCTGATCCACTGGGAAGCTAACCTGAACTGTTTATTCTCGAATCTTGTTGGATTCTCTCGCTTCTCATCTCCCAGAAGAGTCATCATCATTTCACTACTAATCGTACAAATATCAAAGACCTCGGCAAACTCTCTCTGGATCACGGAATAAATACTTTATACCGCTATTGACGAGGGACGCCACCTGAGAGACTGCTATGTTAAACACCAGCAAAAGAATGGGTGGCAGTCGGACCTTCAGGAACAGACTCGGTCACGTATAACGTGTACCTCGCCTCGCTTTCGTGTACGATCTGCCTTACGATCTCCTCTTCCCTGTTCTCCCTTATACGACGCTTTTGCTCCTCTTGTTCGTCACGGTAGCTGTCTGTTCTTTCCGCCTCGTCAGATGCTTCACTCGTATTATCCGGAGTCTCGTTATTGAAGCGGGTCTCTTCATCGTCATCACGGCCCGAGGCGTAACCAGATTCACTAAAAAGCGTAGGGGAAGCCCTCCTATAGGACTCATCAACAAGAGGAATGCGGCGGTCGATTTGCCCTTTCTGTGGACCAGAGCAACATTCACGTCCTTTGTAAAGAACGAGACTGACCCCCTTTTTGTTGAAGACCAAGTGATTCCATGAACCCAACAAGGTCTCCATCGAAAAGAGGCGCGTCTGCAGCTGAGCATCCGGACCAGACGATGCTGGAAGTTGCCGAAACCAGGTAGACTTGAGTTCCTAAAACCGAGTCTGAGAAATATATCCGAAATGATAGGCAGTATGCTTACCTGAACTAGATGGTCCCAGTCCTGTGAATCAACGCCGTAGTCTGCAAGGACTGCAGGCATGCGAGGAGGGGATGATTGTAAGTCATCCATATCTTGTATTTTCATAAGCTCGCGTGGCGGCATATAGGCGCTGGGGTCATTGGTGACTAGTGCTCGGCGACGAGACGGGACTGGAGGACCGCTTGAAGCTAGTGGAAGTGGAGGTTCGCTTGAGGGTAGCGGGAGCGGAGGGCTGCTTGAAGTTATTGAGACTATACGCTGGCGAGGCAGTGTGTAGGCACTGGCATCATTGTTCGATTGTACTCGGCGACGAGTCAGGACTGGAGGACCGCTTGAAGCTAGCGGGAGTGGAGGAGTGCTTGAAGTTATCGCGACTATACGGTTGCGAGGCGGCGTGTGGTCACTGGCATCATTGCTCGATTGTTCTTGGCGATGAGTCGGGAGTGGGGTACCAACCTGCATATCATGCACTATGCTTCCGACGTTGCCCGAGATAAGTGGCCCGATCAAGGTCCCAATGTCATACAAATGAACTACAGAGGGCGGCATGGCCGTCTCTCTGTCTGAGACGACTGAATTGGGGGTGGTATCAGGGGAATTATGGGTGCTCCCATCAACCGAACTCGTGCCAACATCATCCACCTCGGGAACGCCAGGTAAAGTGTCAGGACGCACAGTTCTAGAAGGGTCGCGGTAACCCACAGGATATGTGGGCCTCGACCTGGTG